GAATTCTTTTTAAATATCAAAACAAATTTTATACAAAATTAAAAAATTTATAACTGAATACTTAATACTAAAAGAAATTGTTTTCTGAATGCTTTTGAAAAATGAAGCATTGTTTGTCTTTTTTTATTTGCCTTCATTAAGATGGGTTGATGTTTGATGTTTCTATTACAATTCAATAATAGAAAGGATTTATATGTGTTATACTTGACAATGAGGGTATGTATACTCCCTTGAAATATTGTATAAAAATTAACTCAAAAAAATAAAAAGCTACATCCATAATAGAAGTTTTTAATTAATAATAGAAAGGGAAAAAAGTTGGTAAACCCGCAATTGATAACTTAAAATTTGTTTAAAAATAATTCATTCCATGCAACAGTGGGAAAAAGTTACAAAAAAAAAAAAGAAAAATAAAAAAAAAAAAAAATGTTTACAACTTTATTAAAACTTGTGCGCAAATATTTTTACTTTTATACTTAATACTAAGAAGACAATTATTTATTTTATTATTTTATTTTATTTTATGAAACACATGTATTCGTAGTGTTACATAAAAAGAGATTTTACTAAACATATATTTTTAAGAATTCTATTATAGATAATTTTAAATTTACCTATAAATCATTCATTCATTTATTACATTTGTGCAAAAACTTGAGAGAAAATAATAAGAAGATTTTAAAAAATAGTGACATTTAAAACCAAAAATGTTCCCAATTAAAGCAATTATTATATATTTTTATATTATAAAAATAATATAATATTTTTATTAAAACAATAATAAAATATGAGCTTCATTCATTCATGAATTCAAGAGTTTTTTAACCACCAGTCGAATAAAAGTAATTTAAATAATAGTTTATACATCAAACGCTCTTCAATAATTCAAATTAATGTGTTCTAAACAATAAAACTTTTTAAACGCTTATTTGAAATTTTAATGATTTTATGAAATTTAAGCGTTTTCCAAATTATGTCATGATTATTTTTAAAACCTTGTTTTTCAAAACTCTGATATTTTTTTTAACCGGTCAATAATGACCGACAAGAATTTATTTTTGGAGGTCAAATAGCAATTTTAGTCATTTCTGGCAGTCGTTGACCATTGACCGGCCATTATTTTTCACACTGTATAGAGTGGTGAACAGACCTTTTTTTGGTAGGTTGCCAGAAAGACAACCTACCAAAAAAAGTAATCAACAACAATTGCATTAAAAAAAGTAATCTACAACAATCAACTTAAATTAATTATTTAGCTAATGTCACTCTTCTGTTTGTATTCGCATCTTTAATAACTTTTAAGATCTTGTATAAGAGCTGTTTTATTTAGGATTTGAGTTGACCAATCCTAAATAAAGATTCAACTAGCTTTTTATCTAAAAATTTTAACATTATTTATAAATACAAAGTTTTTTTTTAATTTTAGTATCAAACATAAAAAGAGAAGTTTTATATACAGTATTAACAGTTTGTGCTGTTCTTGGAACTCTAGCACTTCTTTTTTTGAGAGCACCTCCAAAAAGTAAGGTAAATTGATAAATTATATAATTATTCTATTAAGAATCCTATTTATTCATATGCAATTATATATTGACTCATCAAAAAAACGTTTTTTGAGATTCCTACTTATTTAATTGTTTTTTCTTATTAAGTAGGGCATTTCCATTTCTGTGTGTGATTTTTTATTTTCCTTTGTTTTAGGAATTTAAATCTGGGACTTTATGCAATATGCATACTATTTTGATTTTCTTAAAGAACAATTATAACAAAAATATTTTTATCATATTTTAGGCTGAATTAAATATAAATTATATATCTGAATAAATTAAATATACACATTTTTACAATTTTATTTTTTTGAGTAATAATATTGCTACATTTTGAAAAATATACTATAATTTTCAAAACGCCATACTCTAGCTAGAAGTAATTGATGACTGCCATTTCTCATCAAAAATATATTAAATATGAGTCATAGAAGTATAATATTTCACATGAAATACTCACAAGCAATTTATATTCATAAAAATAACTACATGAAATTGACAAATTTGCAACATCCGTGCATGACTTCCGTGCGTGATCATTCATAAACTGCATTTAAACGATTGCTGTGACTTATGATTTATAGTGCAATCCTGTAACTTTCTGCAAATCTTTACTAATGTTTAATATATTATTTTTAAAAAAAAGCATACCTGTAAAACTTATATTTTCCAAGGAATTAAAGTTTATTTATCTAGTAACTAAAATAGAAGTTTTTCTGTTCCCTGCATGATTCCATTTCAAACTTTATTTATTCTTTGTTAACATTACTAATGCTTACTAATTTTTGTTTACAAAATGTTTATATTCATTAGAATTAAATGAGAGTAAATTGGAGATTGCTAGTTTCATTTTTATAAAAATAAAAGTAAAAGCAAGGATTTATATGTGTTATACTTGAATCCATATATATATATATATATATATATATATATATATATATATATATATATATATATATATTATATATATATATATATATATATATATATATATATATATATATATATATATATATATATATATATATATATATATATATATATATATATATATATATATATGTATATGTATATATATATATATATATATTCATTTATACATATATATATATATACACATATATGTATATATATATGTATATATATATATATATATATATATATATATATATATATATATATATATATATATATATATATATATATATATATATATATATATATATATATATATGATGTATCTATATGTATGATATATGTATATATATATGATATATATATATTCATATATATATATATGTATATATTATATATATATATTCATATATATATATTCATATATATATATATATTCATATATATATATATATATATATATATATATATATATATATATATATATATATATATATATATATTCATATATATTTATATATATATATATATATATATATTCATTTATATATATATATATATATATATATATATATATATATATATATATATATTCATTTATATATATATATATATATATATATTCATTTATATATATATATATATATATATATATATATATATATATATATATATATATATATATATATATATATATATATATATATATATATATATATATATATATATTCGTTTATATACACATATATATATATGTATACATATATATATATATATATATATATATATATATATATATATATATATATATATATATATATATATATATATTTATTTTAATTCACCTCCTCAAGGCCGAGAAGGCCACTACAGACGAGGAGGCTACTTATTTGTGGCTATAACCCTCTCTCAACTCTATAACTCCGAAACACGAACCTTGACGAACAAGGCCGCTGCGCGGAGAAACGAGTTGAGCGCGGTACTACCAGGGACGTGGTGGGGATCGAACTCGGAACCACTCGTTTATGAAGCGAGCGCTCTACCGCTACACCACTACCGCATCATTATATATATATATATATATATATATATATATATATATATATATATATATATATATATATATATATATATATATATATATATGGCTAATTCCACGATGGAAGAGATAAATTTCGTGTTTAAAAATTTCTTTTTTTTAAATACTTTTTTTCTTTAATTGTTATTTAAACACCTTAAAATTATTGTTAAAATAAATTTTGAATATCAAATGTTTGAACCGAGTCGATAAATTTGATGAATGTTAGCAGTTGTTTTCTCTTTTTATTATTTGAAAAAATTAGTAAAATTTAAGGGCAAGTTATTGCAACATTCTAAGCAAAATATATCCATATTTTTATTTAAAAAAATTCTTTGAGATTATATGAATGAATTGAGTTTACACACTTTTAAATTTGAAAATAATTCAATGTTTTTTTAGCACATACACATCTGCAAAAATTAGGTTGCGTCACTGAACTTAAAGATAAAAAAGTTTATTTATCACTATGAAATGAGGTTTCAGGGCGAGGTTTTTTTAGATATTCTATATTACAGTGTGAACTTTCTATCACTATTAAAAAAAAATTTGGTTAAAAAGCATTATATTAACTTATATTTAATGTTTAAAAGCTGTTGCGTCACTGAACCCATCAACGGGATAATTAACGTTTTAAAAAAAAACGCGGTAAGGAAGTCAAAGTATCATCTAAAAATTCAGATTTCGTTGTGGGTTTGGTCGATTAAATTTTGCATTTTAATTTTGTGAAGAGCTCTCGTTAAATATTTGTAAATTATTTATTTATGTTGGCATTTTCTTATAAAGTTATACACTTTTAAGAAATGGAATCAAAATTAGAAGTAAAAAAAAAACGTTATGCAGAGTAGTATTATGAGTACGTTATGCAGAGTAGTATTATGAAACGTTATGCAGAGTAGTATTATGTTTCTCAGAATCCTGATAAAAAGAAACAAATGTTCAGAGAAAGATCTTAGAGATATCGAGAAAAACTGAAAGCCGACCCTAATAAAAAAGCAGCTTATTCTGCTAAAGCAAAACTTAGAGTTATAAAAAGTCGCGCTTTAAAAAGAAAACTTATAAATCAATCTCAAAGACTAAGCTCATCTTTTAAAAACGTTCAACAAAGAGGAAAAGCATTAAAAAAGGTTTTAAAAGCACTACCAAACTCAAAGAAAAAACAAGCTGAAATTCTTTCTATTCTTTCAAGCAGCTCTGCATGTAAAGAAAATCCGGGTCTACCTGCATTATATTCAAAGCTGTATGGTCTTTCTGAAAGTGATGTTTTAGCAGTTGTAAACTTTTATAATGAAGATGAAGTTTCCCAAATATCACCAAACAAAAAAGATGTTACTCAAATTCAATTATCTGACGGAAAAACACACAATATTCCAATACGTCATTTATATTATACGTTAAAAGAAGCTTTCGAGCTATTTAAGGAAAAGCATCACATCAAAACTGGACTCAGCAAATTTTACGAACTTCGTCCACGCAATATGAAATCTGTCACAAAATTTCCACATGTTTGTGTTTGTAGTTTGCATGAAAATATGCGATTTGCCTAAGATGCATTAACAAAATCAATTCAAGCGCCTTCAATCAAAGTTGGATCTGAAATAATAAATAACTTTGTTTGTGAACCGTTCACAAGCAATTGCGCCTATGACAATTGTGTTGCATGCAAAGGTATGATACATTTGATTTCGAAGTATCCTGGGACGAGTGGAGAAAGCCTGAAACTAAAACGTATGCAAACATTGAAAAAATTTCAAAGAAGTCTTCTGTAATAGAACTTATCCAGCACATATCAGCAATGCGTGATAAGTTTGTTAAACACGCATTTATAAAGAAAAACCAATCAACAATTTTTAAGAAACTGAAGGAAGTTTCAATGAATATTAATTCTGAAATTACGGTAAATCAAGTTGACTGGGCTGAGAATGCTAGGTGTTTCTATCAAAATGAACCGCAAACGGCTCATTTTGGCCTAAACCAAGTTTCTATCATGACCTTTGCAGTCTGGAACGTTGAGTTAAAAACATTTGCTATAGTTTCTGATTCTACTGATCATACAAAGTCTTCAGCTATACCGTACATTGACAAAATCCTTCACTTTATTCCTAATCGAGTCAAAGAAGTACACATGTTCAGCGACAATGCCACTTCTCAGTTTAAAAACAAAAGCATTATGGCTGCAATGGTTTTGTTTGAAAAACATTTCAATAAAAAATTCTTCTGGCATTTTTTGCAGCAATGCACGGAAAAAGGAGTGGTTGACGAGATTGGAGCTACTGTTAAACGAATCGCAGCACTGAGAATTAAATCTAGTCAATGCGAGATCAAGTCAGCAGCTGATTTTGCTTTAGCATTAAAAGATTTGCAAATATCTGTAATTCATATGTCAGAAAGTGACACAAGACAACAAAAAAATGAACTTGGATTCAGTTCAATTTTAAGTTATTCAAAGAAAATCAAAGATATATCTAAGTCACATTATTTTTATATTCAGAATGATAACGTTGTTCCCATGCTATTTTCACCTGAACATAATTAAAATTTATTACTAAGTAACATAACATTTTAAACATGATTTTAATTCCATTTTTTGTTTCGTCACTGAACATTGCGTCACTGAACTGATAGTTTTTTTCTGTAAAATAAATCGATATGAAAACTTCATTGTTTATGGCTTTTTTTATGACTGGCTTATTGCCAAATGAATAAATTATAACGACAAAATCTAATTAGTCTAGCAAGAATTAAAGTTTCAGAGAAAATTCTGTTTGAAAACATGCTGATAAAAAAACACTTTTTTCCGTGTTGCGTCACTGAACTCATGTTTTAATTTATGTCTTGTGTCATTGTTGTTACAATAAAATTGTTTTTAATTTATATTATAAAATTTTAATTCAAGATTATTTTGGAGTAATAAAATTTTTTTTTTGAGTTACAGAAAAATTTTTATTAAAGAAAATCTCTCCGCATGTTGCGTCACTGAACTATGGAATTAGCAATATGTATACATATATATATATATATATATATATATATATATATATATATATATATATATATATATATATATATATATATATATATATATATATATATATATATATATATATATATATATATATATATATATATATATATATATATATATATATATATATATATATATATATATATATGTATACAATATTTATTTATATACATACATACATATATATATATATATATATATATATATATATATATATATATATATATATATATATATATATATATATATGTATACAGGCCTCGACAGTAATAAATGAGTAGGAGAACTGAAAAAAGCTCTCCTAAAACGAACTTGGGGAGCTGTGCGAGCTGCTCTTCATTTTTTTTTTGCAACAACCGTGCCTTTTAAAAAGCATATATATATATATATATATACATAACTGCCGACCTTAAAGTGTTTGAGGTTGCAAAAAAATTGCCAACATTGTTTCTATGTATTATTGTTTCCCCTTTGTATCAAATTTTATTTGCCGACCTCTAACAGTTTGAGGTCAGCAATTTATTGCCGACCTCAAACTGGTAGAGGTTGACAAATATGTTGTTTTTTTTACATATATTTTTTTCTTTTGTCCATTTATTTCACCATAAAATATAGAAATTTTAGGTGTCACTCGTATAAAAAAAAAATTAGTCAACAGAGTGATGCCTAAAAAAAAAAAAAATAAATAAATAAAGAGAATTTCAAAAAAATGAAATTAAACCAAGAAAATTTACATAAAAACAAGAAAAGAGAAAATAATAAGAAATAACAAAAAATAAATAAATAATAAATCAATACTATATAATGATAATAATAATAACAATAATGATAACAATAATTATAATAATAGTAATAATAACAATAGTAATAAAAATAGTAATAGCAGTAACAATAATAAAATTAATATGAATAGAAAAGTAAATTATAATTGATAG